TGGTGTTTCTCCCCCCACAGAGGGGGCGGGGGCGGGGTTTTTCATAAAAAAAACCCCCCCCCCCTTTTTTTTTTTTTTTTTTTTTTTTTTTTTTTTTAAAGCACATAATATCCTGCTTGAGGTTTCAGTGGCATGTCTGTGAAGCGCAGGGCCGCAGTTAACAGAATGTGGGCACCTGGGCTACATCCAGTTTTGGTGCCCAAATTACCATATTTTAATAGCTACATACCTACAGCTAAAAACTGATTTTTACATACTCTGTATATATGAAAAAAAAAATTGCCTAATTTTAATCAGATTAAATTCTTCCTGTCAAATGTTTCCCAAATGCCAGAATAATGAAGATTTTTTATGCAGTTCTATAAAATCAGAAGTTTATAAAGTGAACTTTTTTTTCTGTCAAAAGTGTTTTTTGGTTGTTGTTTTTTTTTTCTCCCCTAAATCATCTTTTGGCAACAAAAAGGTGGTGCCTTTTTTGTGCCAAAATCACATTTCACCAAAATTGTGGACCTACACAAATCTGGTTCATCCTTGGACAAGATTGCAGAATCCCAAAGAATGCCAAAAGTGATTTTGGAAAAATAAATAAATAATCACCACCTCTTTCTTTTCAAAAGATGTTTTAGGCATCCATATATATATATATATATATATATATATATATATATATATAAAAATATAAACAATCACTTTTGGCAACAAAAAAATGACTTGGGCCATGATTTTAGGTGGGTTACAACATACAAGTCCAGAAAGGGGTCCTTACAGGAGAGAGACGTGAAGTAAATCCTGAAAGGGCGCTCAAAGAGGAAGAAGCCATTACTTCAAAAGCATCATAAGAGAGACTAGTTTCAGTTTGCAGATGCTCTCTGGTACAAAGACTTTCATATTTTTGAGGCTTGCCCTGTGGCTTGATGGAGCTAAAACTGTTTCACCATGTTGCCCATTGTTATATTTGGAGGGCAAAAAAAGCAGAGCGTGAGAACCTCGCGACTATGAAGTACAGAGTCGGCAGTATCATGTCGTATTGGGGTTTAGCTGCTTCTTCGTAAAAATTATGAACATAGGGGTGCTGTGGTGGCGCTGCGGCAAAGCATGACCCGCGTATTGAGGCCTTAAATATTTTCACCCTGGCCCCAGGACGGTACGTCGCCTCTAACACCTGGTCGCTTCGCTTTGCACCTTTGTTGTGCATTTGCATCATGTAGCAGCAAAAACGGAGGCAAAACTGATGAAAAATATTCCTCTTAAAGAGACAGTTTTTCCTCTATTAGCTGAAAAGAAAACCAATTTCACCCTGAAAATCTGAACTGCTCACTGAATAATACATCTTTAAATTCAAGAACCCCCCCCAAAAAAGAGACACTGTAGTGTTTTGGTTTTTTTTGCCTTTTCCTTTTTCTCCCAAAATTTATGTTGCAACATCAGAAAGTCCAAAACATGCTTTTAAGCTCCTAAACAATGCATTTCATTATATTATTCCACCCTCCGCATATTTATTTAATGTACTGCTGGAGCTACAACATCAAGCACAGAGTTACAGGACAGTAATGAACAACCTTTATAGGTTTTTATTATTCATAGCTGAGAGAAATTCTTCATTTATCATGTTGTAACTTTTGCCGAGAAGTGACAGACCGGGGGAAGTGGTAACATAGTGTGGCTTTAAAATCGAAAGACCATTTTATAGTGGCTTTACAACCAATTAGAGGTGAATTATCGACTCCGGGTAACAAGAATTAATATCACACAAGCGACATTTACGCCGACTGACCTGATAAATTCCGACTGGTCGGGATCGTAGAGAGACATGAGCAGCTCGGCGTCCTCCCCGATGTTGCACACAAAGTTCTTCAGGTTCATGAGGAGGCTGTAGGTGTGCACGGAGCTGAACAGAGTCTGCCGCCGCATCTCCAGGTTCTGCAGTCTCGTCTGCGTGAAAACGAGTCGGCGTGAACGAGTGCAAAGACCTTAACTGGAGCCGGCAGCCGGCGGCGGACCGAAGCGATGGCGAGACCAAACGGGAGTCGTGCCTTCTCTTCCTGTAGCCTGTCGTCCACGCTGCGGGACGCCGTCTCGTGGGCCTGGAACAGGCTGACGGTGCTGGTCTGGTCGGGATCCAGCATGTTGCCCGCCTCGTCTCGGACCACCAGGTCCAACCCGAGGATCCTGCGCGGCAGAGGGTCAGTCAGCTGTGGCTCAGGCAGGAACACAGTTTTGAAAACATTTATTAAAACAGCTGGTACAGATTTGCAAAAAAAAACAAACAAAAAAAAAAAAAAAACTAAAACTTAAATTCATCTTTTATTGCAGCATCATAATCCCACCATTAAAAAAATGAGGATAATCTGACAACAAAATTAACACAAAGATACAGTAAACTATTCTTCTTGGTACGATCCTTAGAGAATTCCTCCTCTTTGTTCGGCATCAGGGTCATTATTATCCCGTTGGAAGACCCAGTGGCAAATGCATCTTAACTTTGACTAGGCCATTCACACATATAAATTACAGGGTTTGCTTCTTCCTGGGATGTCATCTTCAAAGCTCCATCAACTCTGACCAGCTTCCATTTCACTGCATACCCCACAGCATTATGCTGCCACTACTTTGTGCTGTTATGGGGATGTTTTTGGGGGTTGATATAGAGGCAGTTTCACACCTTCTTTTGAGATTATTTCAAAAAAGTTTTGCACCCATTTGTAATGGAAATGTGTGTAATGAGACTGAGATTAAAATACTAATGACTATTTTCAGTAATTACTAAAGGAATTAGTTGCACTGAATTTTGTTTAGGGGCATCAGAGTAAAGAAGTACAAATAGAAATGCATGCCACACTTTTCAGATTCCTATTTGGGAAAAAAACAACTGAATATTATTTTTCTTCCATTTTATTTACTCCTATTTTTACTAAATTATGTGCTGGTTTGTGTCCGTCTGTCACATAAAATACCATTTCAATATGTTGAAGCCTGTGGTTATTATGATAAAACTGTAAATTTACTCAACTCAGATTTGTAGGACTTTTCACAGCAGGATTATGTTACTGCATAAAAAGACGCGTTTATTTTAAGATTTTTTTTTAACACAACTTTACCAAGAGTGCCCAAAACCCCCCCCCAAAAAAACAAAAAAAAAACAAAAATCACGTGCCCAGCACTGTAAACTTCACAATTCTTCCAGCAGAAAATAATCCGTTTCTTTGAGGTCCGTTGAAAAGAGCGGGAGCCGTACCGGTTTCCATAATCAATCTTTGCTGTGACTTTCTTCTTGAGCTCCACAAGGTCATCCTTGGGCAGCGTTCCTGACACAATCTGAGATCGATACTCAATGAGGCTGTAGGCCATCTGCTGCACACTCCTGAACAGGGTTATCTTGTTTGCCTGTCAGAAAAACATGCGCACGCTTTGTTATATATACACGCCGCAGTTCAGAGGAAGAAGCAGCAGTGAACTTTTCTTTTTCTCAGAAAAAATAAAAATAAAAATTTAAAGATGAAAACGTATCCCAGCAGTGAGAGAGAACCGAGTGTACTGGAAGCAGAGAGATCTACACGTACCACGAAGAGCTTTTGCCATATCTGCACCCATTCCCTGAGGGTAGCCCCTATCTCTTGCACCAAGGGTAAATCTGCAGGAATAATTATTTCCTGTTGGCTATAAGCCACAAGGAAAGAAGAGAAAAAAAGAAGTAATGAGATATCAGAAGAGCAGCTCGTCGCTCACAGATCATGTCTTATAATCTGGAATGACTCGAGCCCATTTTTGTTTCTTCTTACATCAAAAACAGTCGGGATGGTTGGTCTGCACGGCCAAGAGAAGCATTACTTAATTCTTACTTATGATAATTACAAGTGTAGTGCTTATGCTAGTGGCAAACAGAAAGGCAACACGGCAAACTCAGAGCAAAGTGGATTATCGTCAAAATGAAGTGCTTGCTGATTTGTGATCTCACCCTGTTCCCTCGACTGTGGCCTCTTTTAAGTGGATGTAGGAAGCCGGGAAAATGCCCTGAGGAAACAATCAGGAAGTAATAGTATATACATCCGCATCACAGAATAAGCTGCAGGCCAATATAGCTCCTGTGATGTCCATACCTTCTGTGCCTTCTTTCTGAGTGTGTAGCCTCGATACCAGCCTGGAGATCAGAAATTGACAAAACAGAAGTGGCATGGTGTAGAGGAGGAAAAGCACAACACAGAGTCACATACACACTGCACAGGACGTCGCTCTAAGATCATGTTTCTAGAGCGGTGAACAGGGAGACGTCACGGCTGCCACTCACCTTCCAGCTTCTCAAGTATGTGCACCGTGTCCCCCACCTGCAGACGCAGCTCCTGTTCGCCATGGGGGTCATAATTGTAGATTGCTAAGGGGAAAAAAAAATAACTGTTTCATTATTAAGGCAAAAGAAAAAAACGGAAGTGCTGCTTACAAAAAAAAAAATACTGGTTTCAGCCGACTCTTTTTTTCTGGGATTAAAGAAAAATCCTCGCCCTCAATCAATGCCGACACAGAGAGTGAAGAAAAAAAAAAAGTTCTGCCTGAGTGGTCCGGAGTTTCTCACCAACAAATCAAGCCAGTTCACTCGTTGTTGCTCTACAGAGGATCTAAAGCTAAGATTTATTCCCCATCCGGCTGCCGTTTCTAACAGCAGCCTGAGTTTTAGAGCAACAAGCCAGCTTGAGTGACTCAGACGTCCGAGGCCTTTTGACTATTTTCAATTTAACCTCACGCTTCGAGGCCGGGTTTGGCGTTTCATTGGGCTGCTGCACTGTGAAGCTGCAAGTAGGTATGAGACTTGCAAGCAATTTTTAATAAAAATATCAGCTTTATGCCATTTAGACATTGTGTAGCTACCTACTTGCTTGTTTTTTCAAAGAAAAGAAAATCAGCATGAATAGTTACTGCTGCTAAAACAATGCAACATATCGAGTTAGAGCTTTATAATATTTATTTTTGTTTCTACTGTCAGACACAGGCCCAAGCAAAACTTAGAAATCATTGCAAAATACAAAGAGGACACCAAATTTCATGTCAGATTGGAGTTTTCTTTGTAAGCACACAATGCATCCGGAAAGTATTCACAGCGATTCACTTTTTCCACATTTTGTTACGTTACGGCCTTTTCCCCCAAACTGTTAAATAAAGCTCACTCCTCAAGACCTATTTTTGAAGAAAGAAAGGAAGTAGTTCTCCAGTTGTTCGCTTGCATGACAGATTCAATAAACACCACTTCTGGAGTGGCTTACCGTAGTAAACGGCTAACCGTTAGCCGCTAAAGTTGGCGCCTTAACTGGATTGTTGCAGTGAATAGAGATTCTTTAAAAGAGTGAGACCAGTAAAAGTATTGTAATATTAAAAACATTTTTAAAGAAACATTTTCATATTTTAGGTGGAAAAATATTGGGACCACCTTGCAATGAGACAAGCGTAAAAAAATAGGCAAGTCAAACTTGGACATAAATTATAGAAATAATAGAAAATAGAGTCTTCTCATCTAAACCCTGTAACATCTTTGAGAAAACAAAAAACATATACCTTAAATTTTCCAAAGAATACTAGTAAAGTGTATTTTTGTTCTAATGAGCCTAATATTATGCATCTGGTCTCCTTCACTGAGTGTATTGTTGCACCACTATTAAATAGTACATGTGTAAACTTGCTTATTTCAGAACATTATAGGCTTTTGCCCTTAGCAAAATGATGACTACAAGTTAATTAGTCGGGATCTATAAACTCAGAGTTAGGTTTGAATTAAGGTTTTATTATCAGAGGATTTTGCCACAGGAAATAGTTCCTGACTGTACAAATTCACTGTAGTTTTTTTTTTTTTTTTTCCCCCGAAGCAGCTTTCTAACCAACTTCAAGTTTGTCAACTATAGTTAAAAACTTCACCATCATGAAAGGCATGGGTGGGCCATATTCAGTTTTCAAAATATATTTACTTTTTCCCAGCAAAAGTGGGAATATTACCAGAACAGATACATCTGTCTTTCCTGTCAGAGGACAAACATAGAAACCAACTTTCAGCCAGCAGTTCAGCAGTGTGCAGCAACAAGTGGAAAAGAGGTGAGCAGAAAAATTACCCCAAGTTATTCTCTGGTGTCCTTTAGGAACAGTATGAGGAAAAAGTTTGCACACTTTGTGTTACTGGTAACTTAGTTACCAGTAACTGGTCTTACTGGTGGTGCACAGCAACAGGTGGGGCCACTACCTCCATGTGCCTCATAGATCTGGGGATGGTTTCAGTCAGTGTGTCAACTTCTCTGGCCTCACAAGAACAGAAGTTTAAACACCAAGACAAAAAAATTGTGGCAGTCTTAAAACTGTAACCTCGGTGTTCTCTGATGCAGGAGAGCAGCCAATGAGCTGATAGCGTTTGATCATCCGCCTTCATGCAGGTCTTTGATAAATAGTGTCACCGGTTCAGTTCGCGCCAAATGACACTGCCTGCAGATGCCGTCCTCCTGCACATTCCTGCTTCCACCTACTGGCGCTGCTGAAGGCAACACCTTCCCTTCTCACCTCCAGCCTGCACATTTATGGCGGGGATCGCTCACCCAGGCATGTGCTTGCAAACCAACCAAAGTGACATTGCGAAAGAGAAGCCCTTTTAAAACAAGGCTGCAGGTTGAGGTCTTTGTCTTGACTTGAGAGAGTCGCGGCCGCGCGCACAGCTGCTTAATCTCGCAAAGAGACGCAGGAAGTATGAGCAGAGCCGTGCCCCGACTTGCACGCCGATAATGCTCGTTCCTGCAGGCCAGATTTCTCGGCACGCTTCGACTGGCTCGGCTCATCACACCTCAGCCTGAGTGCCAACATTTGACAGATCAGTGAATGTGTGTATACGCGTCCTCTCTGTGACTTCCTTCACAGAGGAAGATTTTCCACTAGCTTGTCTTGAAACGGACATTCATCCCAAACCGTTCCCATTATACCAAAGTCAGCTTTTAGACTCCTTTTTGGATCATTTCCCCCCATAAACTATAACATTTTATGTTTTGGCCTGTTCCCATTTATGCTGTTTTGATGGATATTGTATTGCTCTGACCTAATTACATTAATCTACGATGCCGGCAGTCTTCTGCATGCATGTCCGCAAGTGAGAATAATCAGGCTGTAATTGTGAGATGCCTTATTGAGTCATCAAGAAATAGAGTGAAGAAAAAAAAAAAAAAACACCAAAGTCATGCAAATCAAATTAAACTAATAACCTTTTTATAAATATAATTTAAAGAGATAACTGTCTGAAGTGATTCCTTCACAATGAGACAATCACATGAATCACCAGGAAAATTACAGTGAAGAAATGACATCTGCCCCCATCCATGCCAGGAGAGACAATGGTCCATTCACCGACTTGACACAGCGTCTGGGGCCTGGCAATGGCGTGGCAGCGCGCCCAGGGTGGGAGACCAAGCAGAGCGAGATGGGACGCCACGCGGCTCATCTGTGCAGCTCTGGTCTGCTCAAACTTCAAACCCCCCACCGTGCCTCCTGTGCGCTCTAATAAAGTCTCGCTGGCACAAGTTCAGCTTTGTGTGCATACTGATGTTACATCAAAGTCAGCCTGAGTCACTCTAAATCATTTAGCACTGAAGTAGATTAGACAACAATTAAGGAACAACAGCGCGGCTGAAGCAGTCCGAGCAGCAGCTGGCAGCCAATCAGCATCAACGCAACACGATGACCAGAATCCGTTGTTCTCGTTGCCAGCTGAGGGAGAAAGAGAAATGTATAAGTCGGTGTGCCATGATAGGGACTTTATCAAATTTGATCTGAAACGGTGCGCCCTGATGCAGGCTTGCATGTAATCCTTGAAAATACAAGTTGGAATACAAGTACAGCTTTCGGCATACAACTTGGAAGCGAATACTAAAGGCACTAATGAGGAAGGCACGCACCGCTGCAACAAAAATAACAACCACCCGTTTCATCTCGACTCAGGCAAATTAAGTATCTACAGAGCCAAATTTTTAAGATTTATCGAGAAAACGGCTAAATTTATCCCAGGGTGTTGAAAATAGGCAGTATATTGCTTCAAACTAAGAGAAATATCAGCTAAAAGAAAATTATCCAGTAATGTACCAAGTACAGCACACAATGTGTGTGTAAGGGTTCAACAAAATATCGAGACGAAGAAGCGATTCCTTGCGATTGTGCAGCTGATTTTCAATCTCCAGAGGTTCAACTCTCCAATACAGGATTTTAGATAAAACCAATTTGTTACAGCAATGAATTTGTTCTCCTCTTTTTGTCATAACAGGTAGTTAATAATAATAAGAATTTACAAAATATGACAGCGCAAAATTGGTGAAAACGGATTTTATTGATTTCTAAAGCAAAGACAGATTAAATTTTTTTGTCTTTAATATCTTATATTAGCCTTTAGCGCAAAGCTAGCATTACCAAAACAGCACACAATGCCTCTATTTCTAAAGGATATGTATTGGTGCCTTAACTTTTACAAAACGCTGCCAACATTTCAAAATCCATTTGATGAAAAAAAAACAACCCATGAAAGGTCAAAGGGTCAAGCAGAGTAACTGTGCAGCACTCTGTTCAACCTTCATGTCATATGTGGGAAGTGCAACTTTCTCTTGCAAGAATCAGTACGTCATAAAAAACACAATTTCCTTTTTGATGCCTCTTTTACATCTCTTTGCTTCCTTTGAAATTATTTTAAATACAACTCAGAATGAAACTGGCAAATTTTGCTTGTTTTTCCTGGAATGACATCAAAAAATTGTTGGATGGCAATCAAGCTAAAAAATCATCTGAATCCAGCCAAAAACAGAGTTTCAATAAACTCAAACTCTTACAAACAGAAACAACTGCCTGTTTTCTGCTGTGATCCAACTAGCCACAAAAAAGAAGAATATAACATGCAGACTTTTCAGCATCCAGCCTGCCAATCACCTTCCAGAGCCAATCATGGGGAAAATGGCTGATATAGATCAATTCTAACAGATTGTTGCAATCAAACACTTACACTTTCAACAGACCTCTTCTCTACGGCACTATTTGATGAGTCCTTACTAGAGCACTTTTCATACAGGAAACTATTCAGCCAAGGAAGAGACAGTTTAGTGTAACAGTGGGATAGTGACAGATGGTGGTGGGAGAAAAAAGAAAAATATGGCTGTAATATAACTAGATTGGTCCAATCACATTTACGGCCAGCCTAAACTTTTCATTACTCAGCAGGGGACGTAAACAATCCAAATTTAAGCTTCACTGGAAGTTGAAGAACCAAGCAGAAAAGAAAATGATATGATAGCACGTTAATGTGCCAAAGCAACGGTGCTAATCTGAACTGCATGTACTCACAGTTTCACCTGAGGTAGCGAGGCTCGGTTTTAGCTT